ACCTCAACTTCATCGACTTCGAGAAGCCCTTTGACAGCGTCGACCGAGAAGTAATTTCGAACCTGCTTCAACACTACGGAATACCGCGAACCGTTCTCAGCCTCATCCAACAACTATATAAAGACGCCACATACCGAGTAATTCATAATGGGAAGCTTAGTGATGCTTTTGAAGTGAAGACAGGAGTGAAACAAGGCTGTCTACCATCACCCACGATATTCCTGATTGTGGTCGACTGGACTGGATCATGCAACAAACAGTGAGGAGCGAGAAGAGGAGGATACGCTGGACTGCGGAAAAGAACCTAGAAGACTTGGATTTCGCCGATGACTTGTGTCTGATGTTGCACAAACTTGAAGATCTACAGGCGAAAACTTACAAATTGGTAGAAGAGGCAGCGAAGACGGGACTTCCTTCAAGTGAACATAGAGAAGACAGAGGTGATGAAGATACCGCACCAACAACTCCAACAACAACAACAAACTCCAATCACCATCAACGGGAGAAACTTAAAGGAAGTAGCCTCCTTCACCTCTCTACTCTAGGAAGCACTGTTTCGACTACAGGCAGCACAGGCACAGACGAGGATGTCAAAGTCAGAATCGGAAAATCAGCAAGACAGGCCTTCCTGCATTAATCTGAAACCGGTGTGGAGATCTTCTGCACTCCACTCAGCATGTGGAACAACATCCGGATTTTCAACACCAACGTCAAGTCAGTGCTCCTGTATGGTTCAGAGACTTGGCGCATCACAAAAGGGATTTCCAACAAACTACAGACATTCATGGACAACTGCCTACACTGGCTCGTTACTGAAGGTCAGATGGCCAGAATAACAAGAATAAGCAACAAGGAACTCACTCTGGCCGGGTAACCAACCAACCAAGAACCTATCACTCAACAAATATGCACTGGAAGGAAGTGGAGATGGATTGGGCATACACTGAGAAGGCCGACTGGGGATATCACGCGTCAGGCCAGTCCCTTGAGTGGAACCTGCATGGGAAGCGACGAGTTGGGCGTCCGAGGGTGACATGGAGGAGATCGTGTGAGGTGGAAATGAGAGCTTGTGGGCTGTCGTGGAGGCAGGTTCAAAAGACTTCAGAGAACTGAGCGCATTGGAAACGTGCTACTGAAGCCCTATGTTCCA